CCTAAGCATTTCATTACATGAATCCCTTACTTAAATCCACTGGAAATACCCCTCCCCCCTCTTTTTTTTTTTTTTTTTTTTCTTGTAAAGAGAGGAACCGGAGAGGGATATATGTCTACGACTGGGGAAAGGGAGAGCAAGTTTATTAAAGCTCCCAGTTTGCATCTAGCTGGAAGGGACGGTAGAGGTTTTAAGCAGACGAAGAGGGGGAGAGGGGGAGGAAAGCCCATTTGTGCCGTAAATTCCAGGGCACTGCACTTCAACACGTCCGGGCAGGAAGGTGCCGTTTTAGGGGAGAGAACGGAGAGGAGCTGGGCTCCGGTCTCGCACCCAGCCCCGGCAGCTCTGGAGCCGCGGCGGGTCCCGGCCAAGCCCTCCCGACAGGCTGCCTGTACAGCTCACGGGGGAAATCTGGATCTCTGCAGCAGAGAAAGTTTCCTCTTGTTTTATACAGTAGCTGGGCAGGGGACAAAAAAAAAAAAAAAAAAGCTTCGATATTAAGAGGGGAAAAAAAGGCAGAAGCCCAACAGATCCAACCAACCGCAAATCCCCCAAGCAGATTTTTTTTTCTGAAGGCATCCGCAGTCCGTGCGAGGATTACCGGGCTGAGGGCACACAAATCCGGCAGTTTGCGGGTTTCCTGCCCCCCGTCCTTCCCAGCCCGAACCCGATTTTCTTGCCTTTCTGCTGTTTTCCCCCAGCGGTTTTTATTTAACACATCCGGTGGGAGCGGGCGGTTCGGAGGGAGCCGGAGTCTGTTTTCCATTTCACAATAAGGTCATTGTTTACCGGCACATGCCCGCCGCGTCTCCTGAGCGGCTGCCCGGGGCCCCCGCGGCCCGTTCGGGCCCGAGCCCGGCTGACTCTCGGGGGAGGTGGGCGCTGCTGTGTCCGTATGTCCGTGTGTCCGTGTGTCCGTGTGTCCGCGGCAGCCGCTGCCGGCGCGGGGCGCGCGGGCCGTGCCCGTGGCACGAGCGCCCCGCCGTGGCCGCGGGCCCGCAGCGCCGCCCGCGTTACCTGCGCGCCTCCGCCCCTCCCGCCCCGCCGCCGCCGCCGCCCCCGCCGGGGCCAGACTGAGCGGCGGCGGCGGGCGCGGAGCCGGGCGGCCCCGCCAGCGCTGTCCCCTCAGGGCACGGGGACCGGGGCGCGGGAGCCGCCGGGCCGGCGGCCGCGGCAGGACAACGCGGCGATTGTTCCCGCCCGCGCCTGGGAGCTGCCGCGGGGGCGGCGCTGGGGCCCCGACCGAGCCCCACGGCGAGCCGGGCGCTGCGTCCCGGCCGGTGCCCGCCGGCCGCCCCGCCCTGCCCCGGTCCTGGCTCGGGAGTATCCCCACCGGCTGAACCTCTGAAACCCAGAGGTTTCTCCGACCCCTCTCGCTCTGCAGCGCTTTGTTTCCAGCCAACGAGAGAAATATTTCGGATGAGCCTCTCAGACTTTTGGAAAAAATCTTGCAATTGTTCACAGAAAATCTTTCACTTTCTGGATAAAATATTCTCTCTTCGGCACCGAGTTTTTGCTGGGAAACTTTATTTGCATGGAAATTGCTGGCAAAGAATGAAAGGAAATTTTTTCCCTTCCTTAAAAAAAAAGCCCCAAACAGCCCTCCGCAGTGGAAACACGGATTAACTCTTGTTTTACAGCATTAGAAAATTGTGATTGCCATTCAGCAACTTCAGCAACTGAGGACTTTCCTCATCTTGGGCTTAGGACTTGTTTATCTAGGGGAGTGTTTTCAGAATGAAGAGGCAAAGGGACTGAAAGTCCCTGTATTCTCACCTAAGGCCAAAAAAATTCTGCTGCAAAGTAAAAAAGTCTTGTAACTCAGTATGGGTAAAAGCTATCGGGGATCCAGTGAGAGGGCTAGTGAGCTACCCAGAAGGATGTTCACAAGACCGTGAGAAAGGAAGAAATGCAGTAAAGGATTTTGTAAAGCAGCAATTGCAAGCCAGGAAGGAGAAATAAACCTGACAGGAAACTCAGGGAAGGCATCTAAGACTTTTTGCTCACATTTCAGTAGCTTTCTGAAGAGCCTTTGGCTTTGGGTACAGCTTGCTCAGGGAGAGGAAAATGGGCATGTCTCCACCTAGGCACGACATGCTCTGCTTTGGGGAACTTAAGTCACTCCCAAAAGAAAGGATGTTTGTGTTCCTGTGAAGGTCACCATTTGTGTTGATGGAAGGATGCACATGTGAACTTGGGATCAAAGCCTGTGTGGTCCCTCAAACACTGGTTCAGGCATTGTTTTAGTCATCCATCCAAAATGGTCATCCGTCTAAAAGGGTCATTTCCCACCCCTGGAACAGCCTTTCTCTTCCAGTTTCTTGTGTGTGCCCAAAAAACACCAGGCCTCCAGTTAATGAAGCAAACCTGTCACTTTGGCATTTCCATAGCTGATGGATTCACTGCCAGGCTTGGCCACAGACTAGGCTCTGCTGGCCTCGCTTGTCCAGCCTGTAAATTGTACAGCACATAAAAACCATGACATACAATGTTAGGAATTAGAATTTGCTTTTTTAGGGCAACCTGTGACCGTCTCTTTCAGTTGCCAAGGAGCTGCTGACAGGAAAAAGCGTATGCTTGCACCTATTTCCCCCAGATTGCAGCAGTGTGAGTGAAGAGGGGAGCTAGGGCTTCTTGTTAAGGTCAGCTGTAGCAGCCTGAGTCAAATGCGGGGGACAAGATGATGTTAAGAGATTCCTGAAGACGCAAGACTCCTGCCTGCATCCCGCCTTCCCTCCTTTCTCAGGGCATGTGTTCCAGGGTTGCTGAGGGGTTGCTTAGGTGTTTCTTGATGCATCACAACCTTCCCAAGGCAGGGCATTGCTTCACAGTCCCCATTGAGTAACAGTCAGCTCCTCCAGAAAGGGAAATATTCAATGAACTCGACCATTCCTTTACGTTTTGGAGTTCTGTCCACATGAGCTCATGGGGCAGATGGGGAATTCATATTATTCTTCCATTCAACAAATATGGAGATGTGCTCTGAGCTGGGTAGGATGTTTCAGGAAAAGTCTGTCCTAGTCTTTTTTTTCCATTTTCAGCCCGTATGCTTCCATTGCAATATAACACTGGCCTCTTTCTAAGGAGCAGAGAACCACCATCAGAAAACTTCTCCCAATGGAGTTGCTTCAATTGATGTGAGGCCCAGTGGTTTCAAATAAAGCCAAGACACAAGTCAGATGGAGCCCTCTCCAGATCTGCAGTTTGGGTCAGCAGTGAGAACTGCAGAAGCATGGCTCCCTGCACAGTTTCCTGAAGTTTCCATAACAGATGTTTGAGCATGGATCTGGAGCTGCAGGGTCAAAGCTGCTGCTGGAGCTGCTGCTCTGATGCAGAGCATGAGCCAGCACCACTGGAGAGCTGAATGTAAAATTTCTCTT